AAAAGACAAAAATACAATATGTTTTCCCTGATCTGGAGTAACTAAGAGTACCTAAAAAGAAAAGTAGAACTCTATTAAAGATTAACAGAAAGTAGAAGCCAGGATCACTTATACGTTTGAGAAAGAAATGTGTTTGCAGTAAGGGGAATGAATAAATAGTGATTGAAAATTAGAAGAATATTACAATGGTCCATTTATGATTAGAAAAAAAAAGGAATTGAACATACAGAGACTGTTTCAAAGGTAGGCTGACTAGGTTATTTTCAGGTCAAGGTGATTCTGGTATGTACACATCTCACCCATAATCTAAAGAAACAATGTCTCAGAAAGCAGCATAGTTTATTTCAAAAATCATTACCTATGCATAAAGAATTAAGGATGTATATTTTCCTTTCTAGATACATAGTGAAAAAACTAGAACATGACATTGGGATGAAAATTACTTCTGCTTTAAAGAGAGTTAGCACAACTGAATTGTCTGCTTTTAGATTTAAGCTAAATATCAGGAGAGTCAAGTAGGATAAACCTTTCTCATAGTGTGCAGTGTTGAATCAGATAAATTCAAAAAGCAGCAGAACTGAAGATATTCTTATAAAATAGAGCCTGGCTTATATTAAAGATTCCATTTCCTCACTGAGTGTTCTGCGCCAGTACTGTAGAACTATACCTTGCTGTGAAGGCATAATTTCAAAGCAACTAAATGGGAACACAGTTGTCCAATTGCAGAAACAATAGAACACCAGAAGCTGGAGCCTTTGCAGTGTACATAATGGTACATTGTAAGTTAATAGGTTAATAAAACTCAAACTGAAGTCAAATAATACTGCACAGTAGTTATTTCTAAAGTTAGTGTACAGTGCCTTAGAATTTAATGTTTATTTTTCATAAAAAATAGACTCTTCAAGCAACTTATGTCTTCCCTTTCTACCTCCAAAAATTTGTTGAAACTTAGCTAAGATGCAACTTTTAAGTTACTGAGTTCAAAAATCTTATTTTTTTTCATTGTCATTATATATTTTGGAGAAATCTGAATCCTATGTCTAGCATCCTGCTTTATCAGAGACTCCTGTTTTTTCAAATTCAAAGGAATTTTTTTCTGTTGCTCATTGCTTTTGGCTCTCCTGTAGCAACTGCCTTTTTTTAAAAAAAAAATTGCATCTTCCTCTTTTGATTCTAACATGTTAGTTTTATACCTTTTCTGCTGATTTCATCTCTCATCTTGATGACCACTATTTGATCTTTACTTTTTCTGTATGTTGATCCTTTGCAAGGAAGTGTTCTTTCCTATACTATTCCATTGAATTTTTTTAAATTTTCTTGAGTATTTTACTATCTCCTCACTGATGAACATCCCCTAGGAGGTGAGATTAGACCCTGTCTCATTGCTGCAGCTTTGCACATGTTATTGTCTTTCTGTAAAAGGATGCTATCATTTTTGATCTGCTAATTCTGCTTATTTTTCAGATGTCAGTCCTTTGGGATATCTCCTCTTGTGAAACTGAGTACTTCTCCAATGTGTTCTAAGGCGCCCTGTACTTACCTTTATGATAGCCCACCAACTTTTAAGCAGTTATAGTACATTACAATGGTTCATCAGTATCCCTGGGCATATCTCAGAAATGCAAGATTTCAGGCCCTATCCAAACCAACTGAATCCAGAACTCTAGTGTGTGGCTCAGGAATCTGTTTTAACTAGCCTTCCAGGTCACTCTGAAAGAGGCAAAAGTCTGAAAGCAACTGATTTGTTGCATAAGCCTGGGTTTCAGTTGATTCTCCTATTAGATTTTGGACTGCTTTAAGACAGAAACTGGGATGGCATTTTTCTCATGGTGATGTCACCAGTGTCTGGTATATCACCTGATACATTATTGCTACATAGTAACACTTCAGCACCTGAACAAATGTATAACTAGTTGTTTTTTTAAAAGATTTATTTTATTTATTTGAAAGACAGAGTTACAGAGAGAGGTAGAGACAGAGACAGAGTTCTTCCATCCACTGATTCACTCCCCAGATGACCACAACGGCCGGACCTGCGACTATCCAAAGCCAGGAGCTTCCTCCAGGTCTCCCATGCAGGTGCAGAGGCCTAAGGACTTGGGCCATCTTTCACTGCTATCCCAGGCTGCAGCAGATAGCTGGACTGGAGGAGGAGTAGCCGGGACTAGAACCGGTGCCCATATGGGATGCTGGCACTTCAGGCCAGGGCATTAACCTGCTGTGCCACAGTGCCGGCCCACTATAACTAGTTTTTATGAGCTTCATTTCTTCATCTGTGCAAATTTGGTAATTTGTATGCAGAGCCAAAAATCACTTTAAAGTCAACCTCTGGGGACAGACATTTGGCACAGTAGTTAAGCCCTGGCTTGGAATGTCTGCATTCATAGCAGTACCTGGCTGAGTTCCAGCTCATCCACTTGCAATCCAGCTTCTTGCTAATGCAAACCTTGGGAAGCAGCTTAGAACAAGTACTTGAGTCCTTGCCACCCATTTGGAAGACCGTGATAGAGTTATAGGCTCCCGGCTTCTACTTGGCCCAGCCCTGGCTGTTGAGGGCATTTGGGGAGCGAACCAATGACTGAAACCTCTCTCTCTTTGTCTCTTTCTCTCTTTCTGCCTTTCAAATGAAATGAAAATATAGTTTTTAAAAAGTCAACCTCTATGGCCGGCGCCGCGGCTCACTAGGCTAATCCTCCGCCTTGCGGCGCCAGCACACCGGGTTCTACTCCTGGTCGGGGCGCCGGATTCTGTCCCGGTTGCCCCTCTTCCAGGCCAGCTCTCTGCTGTGGCCAGGGAGTGCAGTGGAGGATGGCCCAAGTGCTTGGGCCCTGCACCCCATGGGGGACCAGGAGAAGCACCTGGCTCCTGCATTTGGATCAGCGCGGTGCACTGGCCGCAGCGTGCTGGCCGTGGCGGCCATTGGAGGGTGAACCAACGGCAAAGGAAGACATTTCTCTCTGTCTCTCTCTCTCACTGTCCACTCTGCGTGTCAAAAAAAATAATAATAATACTTGTAGGGATCAGTATTTTGGTATAGCAGGTTGAGCTACCACTCCACTTCCAATCTAGTGCCATGTTAGTATACCTAGGAAAACAACAGAAAATTAATTGAGTGGTGCCTAGGCCCCTGCCACCCTCATGGGACACCCTGATGGCATTCTGGGCTGTTTGCTTCAGCCTGGAACGGCCCTACTCATTGTAGACTTTTTGGGGTGAACCAGCAAATGGAAGATTTCTCTCTCTCTCTGTTTCACCCTCTGTAACTCTGCCCTTCAAATAAATAAATCTTTGCAAAAATAAAAATAATACTGTAATGATTTCCTTTGCTTACAGAACAAGTTTCTTCTTTGAAAAAAATTTATTCTGAGTGTATAAACAAAACATATTCACCAAAAAATACCTAAAAGACACACACATATGCAAAACAGATGAAAAGGCACTAGAAATTCTACCACACTGAGAGGACCACTAGTGGTTGCATATATTCCATTATTTTTTATTTCTAGCATTTTCTTATGCATTTCAGATGTACAAATGACTCTCTTTGAAACAAACCACTATTGGCTGGTATGAGTATGTTTGTGTCCTTAAATACTGTTTTCCACAGTTTTGTTAATGGCTGCATGGTATTTTTGGCAATGATCTTCTGCTTATCCACATCCTCTTCTAATTAGTGGAAAGTTCTCAGGTCCTTTTCATTACCGCTACCAGGGCAGTTCAGGCTGTTTTTCATTTCTATAACCTCTTGTGGTAGCCTGCCATGTTTAAGAAATTAATTTTTCTTAAGTATAGTTCTGAGCCAGTGGTACAAAAGTCAAGGGGACTCTCTGGTGTCTTCCAAATGAGGCTGCAGTCCTGAGCAGGCGGTGAAGGAGTCCTGCTGGTCCTTTTGCATACCTAAGCTCTAAATGAGATTGCTTACCATTCGCAGTGTTCCATTTATCCTCTCTTGAATCCAACTCTCACTCTGTATCCCCAAATTCTTTCACACTAATGATTTTATTCAAAATTTCTTTCAGTGGGAAGCCTTCCTAAAATTAAGTTCCAACCCTCCCAGCACTCACTTTTTAATCCCCTTCTCTGTTCTGTTCTCTGTTCTTCATAGTCATTATAATCATCTTACAGACAATGTATTTTACTTGCTAATTGCCTGCCATTCCGACTGCAATTTAAATTCCTTGAAGGAGGTCATTTCTGCTTGTGTCTTCTTCATTGTCATATTTCTGAAACATACAACATTTCTTGATACATAAAAGACATTCAGTATATATTGAAATATTGAATGGGCAGGAATTTGGTGCAATAGTTAAGCTGCCACTTAGGTCATTTGCATTCTGTATTGAAATGCGTGGCTTCTTATCTGGGCTCTGCTCCAGATTCCAGTTTCCTGCTAATGCACACAGTGAGGGGCAACAAGGTGGTGGCTCAAGAGTTTGGATCCCTGCCACACTTGTGGGAAAACCTCATTGAGTTCCCCACTCCCTGCTTTGAATTGGCCCAGTGTTGGTTGTTGCAGTCATTTGAGAACTGAACCAGTGGATGAAAGAGTTCTGTCTGTCTGTCTGTATCTCTGTTCACTCTGTGTCTCAAGAAGAAAATGAAAGTAATAAATAAGAAATAATGAATATATGAATAGAATGTTTATTGATAAAATTCTACAAGGTTGGCTACTTGAGGCATTTATGTATTCTGTGTTTAGGTATAAATATGTGTTGTCACTCCCATTGAGTAATTTATAAACTCTTTAAAGGCAGACATCAATAATTTTGTGTTTCTTGCATTCTTAATGCAGTGATAAAGTTTTAAAATTAATTAAATAATTGCCCAAATAAAACTGAATTATTACCAAAAGCAAAGAGGAAGTTATATATGGAGTTTTACCATTTTTCCTATAGCGAATAATGTATATAGCTAACCTTTGAAAAGATAATACCTGCTAATCTGCACAATGATTAGAATTCCCAAGGAAATCATCTTGCAAACATTGTCCATCTTTACAGATTATTAATGCTGCACTTGCTTTGGCTTCAAGACCCAAAAGTCAAGTAGTGAAAAACACCATGGACATGTACAAGCGCACATGGGAGAATCATATACATGTCCTCACTGAAGCTGTAGATGACATTACAAGCATTGATGACTTCCTTGCTGTATCTGGTATGTTTTCGATCTTTTATATATTTGCTCTTGCCGTGTTTTTGAAGTTGGATTATACTCAATATTATCAGTTTTATACAATGTAAGGAGCCTTTTGCTGATGGGCTTTCGAGAAACAACTGTTACTATATAGTAGCAACAGATGTGACATCAGTCTTCTATGCTGGGATCATGAGCTTCATGCCATGTAATCTTACAGTCCAACAGTTTATGTATGTCTTCAAAAGAAAATTCTATTCATGGGAAGAGAATAATAGAAAACAAAGCTGTTAATTTTAAGATTTGTTTTAAATTTTCCAATAAATCAGCATTTCCCCCCTCTAGTACATTTTTAAGTCTTGATTTCCCTGTACTACATTTTCAAACAAATTTACACCAGGAAAGAAACAATATATAAATGGGAAAAGATTTCATTGATTGGGGCTGTAATGTGGTAATTAATCTATACAATGTGTATTTAATAGTGCTAACTGAAGAACCAAAGACACAACTCTAAATATCAAGAAAGTTCAGTGACAGACAGGCTTGAGATTCTATAAGAAGCTGGGATGATTCTCTCATTATAGATTAGAATGCCATCTCACAAGATTGTGAAAATAATCTAATAAATCCAAATCCTTAGAAGCAATACTTAGACTTTGATTATATTGTTGTAACAAGAAAGAGCTAAATATTTTGTAGTCTTTTTTATTGTCTTAGAAGCAAGCCTCTCCTTAAAATAAATAATACATTTGTCTTTCATTTTCTATGAGGAAAGGATTTTCTTGGAATGTGTTAGTAGTCTTTTTATATAAAATGCAAATTCTCATGAATTTTTAACATCTTTTTATAAAGTTTCCTCATGTATGTCAGTCTAAATTATTGAAATCAATTATTATCATATAAGTTTACAACAATAGTTCCTGAAATATGACATATGAAAGAACTTTAAAACATTTTTGGAAATATGGAATTAAATGATGTATGTATTAGTGCAAAAATAATACACAATTTATATATAGTTTTTTACAAAATGTATTTTCCATGAATTTTTAAGTATCCTCATATTTTTATGATAAATTAATGAAAAGGAAGTATGTGCTAATCAATTTAAAGTTATTTAAATTTTACATAGTTTAAAACTTTGAAAATATATGGAAAATATAGGTAAAATATTAATAACTTTATGTAATCACTGATAATATTTTTGCCATGTAGTACTTTTCTACATATAATTTATATGTCCAAACACTATGTCATGCCATAATGCATGTGTGTGTATATGGATATGTGTATATAAATTATTTGATTTTTAGACATGTTTGGCTACATATTTCTACATCATTGTATGTACTTCAAAAATTAATTTATCTGCTATTAGTATTTAGATAATTTATAATTGTAATTATTAAAAACAATGCTATGTTTAGCATATTTTATTCTATTTGCCATCTCCTTAGTATAGACTGCACAATGTAAATTTAATCAAATGTTACTTTGAAGCGATCTTTGGTAATTTAATTGTTAAATGCTGGGTTTTGTTTTTAGTTGGTTCTTTGGTTAAGAAGCTCAGTGTGTATTCACACTAAGTGATGTAAAGGCAGATTATGATAATAATACTGACTGCACATGGCAGAATCCTTTGGACACACAAGGCAAATCATAATTGGTCAAGCCAAGCTTGATTAGAGCTGAGGCCCGGCATCCAGGCAGCCTGTGGGCCCTCAGAGCAGGAGCGCGTGGTTTTTGTGCTCTATCAATCTGACCTGTTAAACTTTAAGATCTACTCTTTTTATAGACTAAATTAGCAGTTGAAAATGTTATGACCAGAAATTAACAGAAGACTCGTATAAAGGTCACTAAATATCAAAATACTTTATTTTACATAACTGGATGTTTGATTTAATTGGTTCTAGGCTTACTAGCCTTAGCATTCCAGAGGACAGCCCAGCTACATGAGGTGAGATGTCTTTTCAATAATACTGTCTAGAATTGTTGACCTGAAGGGATGATAAAAAGTGAAGTGATCGCTAATATATTTCACTAATTTTCAAAATTCTCTAAATTATGTTGACTATGCATCCTGTTATTTCCCCTACCCAGGATGGGTTTCTGCTTGCCTGTGTTTCGGTTTCCTTGGTAGTAGTTCAAGGTTATTAATGATGTACGTAGGCATTATTGGATTGGGTTGCTCTTCCTTTAGGGTTGCATCTTAGTACCTCTGAAAATAGGAAGACAAAGTGACTTTAAAAGTTAATGTGTCTGTCAAGAACAAAAAGTTTCCCAAATGATGCTCATTTGAGTTTCTTGTCCTAGTCATACATCAGAACTAGGTCTCTAACTTTGTCTCATTGGTAAAAGGAAATTTGATTTCATGATATGTAATAAATGATGAACAAATGCTGGGGTCTGGGGGTAGCAATCCTATTTGGTCACACTTACTGATTTCTATGGCATAAATAATTCCACCTTGGCAAGTTTCAGGCATTCAAAGTGATCCCACTATACTTTGTGTTGGTAAGAAATGCATAAAATCCATTCCCATGTGCTGATGTAAACAGGTTTTAGCAGATTTCTGGATTTAGATTAGTCAGTATGTATGATCAGTCACCTACTTCACAAACAAAATCAGAGGTTTGTTGGCAAGAAGAAATGGAAATAACTGTTGAACAGGATGTGAGGGCGATCTGGCTGCGACATCTGTCACCCCACTGATTGCCAGAGTTGATTCGGCTGATCTGGCTGGCTAGGAGGGTGTCCCCTTCCTCCCTCACCGCTCCATGTGCGTCCCTCCCGAAGCTGTGCGCTCAGTTGAAGAGGACGACCTTCCCCGCTAGAGGAGGACCGGTCTTCGGTCAAGGGTATACGAGTAGCTGCGCTCCCCTGCTAGAACCTCCAAACAAGCTCTCAAGGAAATAACTATTGAACAGACAGCAGAACATATTTACCAAAATACTGAGTGGCATCCACTGTTCTCTCAAATTACTAGGGCTTTATAAACTTAAACTGTTGCTATTCTTGCATGGGCTCCCAGGATTCTTCTTAGAACATCATAACTTTTCAATATTAGTTCTCACAGATGATGACATAGCTCAGTTTTTCCAGACAAATAAATGAGAAAGGATCTGTCTGGCTGCTTGCTTGCTTGCTTGCTTCCTTTCTTTCTCTTTCTCTCTCTCTCTCTTTCTCTCTCTCTCTCTCTTTCTCTCTTTCTTTCTTTGTAGGCAACAAGTCCTAGCTGCAAGATCACAGGCTACCCGATAGAAGGTTGCCTTTTTTCAGATGACTAATCATAGTTCAAATAGCCGTGATGCAGGCTGTCACAATCTGACAGGTTGTACATGGTAAAGATGTTCTTAGAAAAAGGTGTAGGTGAGTTCAGCGGTGGATGATTTACCTGGTCCTCTTTCAGAATGATTTTTCAGAGTGATGTGTTCGTATTCACAGACTGTTGCTGCTTCTTCTATTTTCAAGTTTATCAAGTGACAAGTGAGTTCATATGGTTTCTGAATTTTGAATTACCTAGGAAAAACTATGTTGTTAATATTTCTTTAAGCATTACACTTCGGCTTGGACTTTTTTCCCCAGTAGTCAACAATCATATTGAATTTTAAATTTTTTTTTTAACTTTCATTTAATGAATATAAATTTCCAAAGTACGACTTATCCCCCATACTATTGAATTTTAAAATTTTTAATAGGAATAAAAATTAGGGTCCTGAAAAGATTTCCATTTTCTCTTGATTCAGTTGTAAAAATTTGTGGATTCTAACAGAAATAACTTTCCACATTAAAATATAAATCAAAATTAAAATCTAAAATCAGTAGGAAAGGAAAATTAGCTTTTAAATTATTATTTTATAGTCTGCTAGCACAAGTAGAAATCACATGTATCACAAGGTTTGCTTATCATTCCAAAGTGATTAGATGTGTAATATTAACTAGAAATTCTTAACATACCGGTATCTGTAATACCAAATGTCTTCTATTTATCTGCGGCAGTTCTAAGGATAGGACTGTCTTTGCTGACTTGTAAATTTTATGTTTGGATCCTCAGCAAACTTCTCATGGCATAGAAATCTAATACCTATTTTCAGAAGTAATATTTAGATTAATTTGTTTTCTGTTATGCACAGAGAACTCCAAATATAAGTACAGTCAATCCGTTCTTTAAAATTGTAAGTATGACCACATCCCTATTTATCACTCATCATAAAATTTTCCACACACACAAAATTAAACATCTAATCAGAAACTCATTTCCAGGAAAAAAATATGGCAAGCTAAGTCTTTGAACTTCAGTTGTCCAACAGGCTTTTTTAGTTTAATGTTACTTATGGAATCGCATCAGTGGCTTATTGAAAGTAGCTAGAAAAATTATTTTTTTAAAAAAGATTTATTTATTTATTTTTAAAGTTAGAGTTACAAAAAGAGAGGGAGACACAGGGGAGAGAAAAAGAGAGCGAGAGAGAAAGAGAGAGCGAGCGAGAGAGAAACAGAGAGAGAGAGAGAATCTTTCATCTGCTGGTTCACACTCCAGATGATCACAAAGACCAGGGCTATGCCAGGCCAAATCCAGGAGCTTCCTTCAGGTCTCCTCCCGTGTGGGTGACAGGGGACTAACCACTTAGTCCATCTTCCACAGCTTTTCACAGACCATGAGCAAGAAAGTAGAGCAGCTGGGACAGGAACTGGAGCCCAAAGGGGATGCAGGTGTCTGTCTCAAGAGGCAACTTTACCTGCTATACCATAATGCCAGCTCTGAAAAATTCTACCAAATGTGTTTGTCCCATCACTGCCCACAGGGCTTATCCCTACACCCTTCACTATGCCTTTTGTAATTCTCTGGAAATGCAAATGATAAAAATCTGTCAGAAAGTGACTTTTGTGAAAATGCTTTGACCACATCAGGGCTTGTCATATTTATAAACAGAGGATATTTTGAGGTTTGAGAAATTTTATTTTCTAGTCTGTCATGGTGCCTGAAATATCCAGTATTAATTATCCCGGTGGGATATAAA